GTCTTACATTATTAAATATATGTAAACAACTTGATATATTTACATGACAAACGGAAAAAATATGTCAATTATCGGACCAGAACATTAATTGCTCATCACCATCAAACATTTATTATTAAGATGGCAGAAGATGTCTTTTGTATGTTTATCATGTCAGTAGTTCTGTATGTGGAATTCATGCTGCATTAATAATGTACACTAAGCCTGCTGAATTTTAAATTACCAAACCGCTGACAGGGCTGGCCTTGTTTAGACATTCAGCTGACATCCAATATGTTCATGGATCAAGCTGGAAAGAGAGCAGCCTGCACGTACTGGTCTTGGTCCATTCTCTCTTCAGCCCTGGATGAACTCAGCTACATTATGAAAAGGAGGTTGTATTTGAGAGTTATTGAATACAGCTCTTCACACAATATGGAATTTTATTTTGCTATGGTTCTGGATTATTTGAAGATAAGTGCTGACATCATAGCCAATTTCAATACATTACCTTCTCCTCCTCCTCCTATGTAGAACTTCACTGAACAACTCCAATTTTTATCTATTCGGAAGCACTCATTTAAATTTTTGAATGGATTTCAAGTGTTTGAGAAAAACCATCCTTAAGGAAACATCAGGTGTTATGTTGGAGGCAGAAATGTGACAAGATAACATCTTGATACCATATCCTTTATTTTATTCTCTCGCTCTCTCTCTTCTCCTTCCATATATTGCCCCCTTCTCAGTCCTTTGTCTTTTTTAGTTTACAGCCACTGTTCCTCTCCTCCAGGTATTTAAACTGGGTCTCATTTTTTTATTGTTGAACCAGATGCTAATTTGCCCAGCTCAAGTCAGTTCACAGTTTTGGAACCCATCCCAACCTGCAACAGCTGGATGGTGTACAAAAGACAGAAGATAGAGAATCAAAACAAGAATAGAATAGAAGTCTCAAGGTGGCCACCAGAAGCAATCAGTCCTGGTTCAAAACACCGAGTAATAGTGTTGCTTTAACAACTTTCTGAAATGCCAGAAATAAAGGGCTGTTTGAATCTCTGGAGCCAAGGAATTCCCAAATAAAGGAACTGCAACAGAGAAGGTTTGCCAGCAGATTCCTGCCCTCCCCCACTTCATATGGAAGCTAATGGCAGGCAAGCCTGGACCCAAACCACCATCACTTGACAAAGCAATAATATTTTGGCTGGTCCTTAAGTACAGCTAAAATTTTAGCTCTACCTTCTATCCTTCAGATTGAACTGAAGGAAGCAGTCCTCTGTATTTCAGTTGTAAAATATAAGGTTTTTTTTTTTTTTTACATTTAGATTCAGCAGCATTGAATTAACATGCACAGGTGCCAGAGTTCAAAGCAATCAGATTGCAACTGCTCCCCAAGGCACCTTTTCCCCCCATAGATAAAACAACATTTGACAGTGATATTGTGCTTTCTTAGAAAATATGCCAGCAAAATGCATGATGCTGTGGAGGGAGAAAACAAGTAGAAAATTAACAGAATGTTCTTAGGCACAAGTTGGAAGGCCATAGAAACCTAAAGAAGTCTTTCTCACCATTAAAATAAACAAAGAAGGGATCATTAACTTTCATTGTCAGATTTCTAATACAAATTGCTACTGCAAATAGAAATCCTGTACAATCAAGCAGCAACTACATCTTACTATTTTAAAGCTAAGATTTCTTAATAATGGAATAGTATGATTTGGGGCCAAAATTGAGTGTTAGTATATTGGATTCCTAAAACATTATTCCCTTTTAAATATGGGCAGTTGTGATGCTTCAAATGAGACTCCAGCTTTATATCTATATGCAAACACTATATGCAAAGATAATAAATTTTCTAAAAATATACAATAATCTATCTAAAGAGACATTTATAATCCTTATAATATTTTGTACTAACTTTTTCCACTTAAAATGACTTATAAAGGCCTTCTTATTTTAATGCATTTCTGTTCCAATTACTTGTTTAAGTATCTGGCCACAACAAGTTTGGATTGCCCAAAAATATTGCTTCACTGTAATGGCTCCATAAAGCAGGAAGGTTAATGTGGGTTAATTTTGCACTTTCTGAGTTTGTAAAAGCAGTAGTAAATGCATTGTTACTTAGAATGTTTGTTCCCAGTATTTTGCTAACTAGTTTATTGATGAGAAATGTTAATACATTTCTGGACTAGGTCCGAATTTGTTAAATGCATGTAAACAATTTGTTAGAGATATACTTACACGACAGCAGAAAACAATATACGTCAACACAATGGCCAAAAAGGCTATTAAATTGTACAGCACCATCAAACAGATGTTTGGTTAAAAAAAACATAGGGTAGAAGATGGAAAAGATGGCAAGAAAATATATTTTGTGTGTATGTCGTGTTAGTTCTGTATCTGGAATTAATGCTATATCAATATTGCATACTAAGCCTGCTGGATTTTAAAAAACCAAAACATTGACACTGCTTAAAGTGTGATTCCCAGTATTTACTTTACTGATGTTGTTTAGCAACCATTCTTCTTATCCTGATATAAAGATCCACCATGATGCTTGGATTTGATATGGTTAAAAGGGGAAATATTTTAGAGAGCCACAACCAGAGCAGCTGCATTTAGGATGTTTAAGTTCAGCACAAAGATTGTTCCAAATAATAAAAGTGAGAGAAATTTAAAGAAGAGAAAAGTGCTGGGTACTCCTCTTACCTCTCAATTATCACAAAATATTTTAACTTTATTTAAACATATTATGATAACGGAGAACAGATATTTCCTCTTCCTTCATTACATGCCTTGATTTTCAGTTGTTCCAGCAAAGTATTTTGAAAATTGTTGAGCAAAGGGAGAGGGTGGGACAGAGATAAGGTTCTAATGAAAGCAATATTTTCTACACTTCATGCATTCCCATGGAAGGAAAATAGAAAGAGGGTAAATCTAGCAGAAAAGTGGGGGGCGGGGGAGGCAAGTGGATAGTTTGTTTCCACAAACTGGAACATTGGTCAGATGAACATCAAGCTTTACGAATTGCTGAAGTGGAACAGAGAGCTATTCCTGAAGTGTTGTATTTTAATTTTAATTCCTAGCAGTGATTTCTTTTCTTTCCTTTCCTTCTGCCCCATCCCCAAATTCTAGGGACATGTAACCGAAGGAATGGCAGACTGAGAAATTGTCACATGACCAGGTTGAAGATCCATTATTGTCCATCACTTAGTCTTAAATCTATATAAATTTATATTAAATCTTAAATATTTGTAGTGTTACCTACAACCCTGAAGTGTTAAAAGAGTACCATCTGGCATTATTGGGGGGGGGGTTGAATTCAGTGGCCTCTTGCTCCATATAACTGTTACACATTTGCAAAACACTCAAATCACAAATAAGTGAATTTGCCATAAGCGCCGAGCAAACACTGAACACTGTACAGCTTCTCACTGAAACAGTGCTCCCAGATGTGCCAATACAAATGTTAAGGAAGAATATGAATGAAATACCTCTCACTGTATCATTAAAGTAGCTGCATCATTTGAACAGCTCACATGGTTGGTAAAAAGCATAAAGTAGCTCTATCAAATTAACCAGTGAAACAACTTGCCTCCAGAAGTTGTGAAGTTTTTAAGAAGAGATTGGACAACCATTTGTCTGAAATGGTATAAGATTTCCTGTCTGAGCAGGGGGTTGGACTAGAAGACCTCCAAGGTCCCTTCCAACTCTGTTATTCTATTCTATTATATTCTGTTCATATTAACAAATGCTTCACATGGTCCCTATGATAGGTAGATAATATAACTATATAAAATCTGCCTTTGGAACAGGCAACACCTAAATAAAGTAATAACCCTCTCAAAAACACAGCTGACTTAATATTCATTTCTTGGATAGAATATTGCAAGCAAAAATACAAGCAGAGGTTGCCCCTTGGGCACACAGAGTCCCTGGACCAATCCCTCGTGTCTCTATTTTTTTTAAAAAAGTGATAACAATTGAAGAATAAATGTTCCTCACACTCTGAAGAGCTCGTGCTAACATCTCACAGTACGATCAGCCATAGTGGAAGTGATAGAAAGTCTGCCCTCCTTCTGGTTATTTTGGCATAATTGTGCTTAGCTGAATTTTTTTTTTAAAAAAAATGCATTCCTGGGGAAATGATGTTACTCTGTACTGCTGCCAAGAAAACCAAATGGACATAATCACCAGGACTCAATCTTGTCTCAAGGGAATCTACTTTTTGTAGACAGTCTATTCTGTGCCATTCTCTAGGAATTTATATTGCGTTGCTAAACCAAAAGGATTGTGGCGTAAGATGAAGAGAATATAAGATAAAATCAGGATCTCTGTAGCAGCATTTTTTTCTTAAGTACGTATAATTAGGAGAAATATCATTTATCTGCTCAGCACTGAGAGGGGAAGGTAACTTGTTTCTGGGGCTAAGCCAAAAGAAAAGGAGTCATTCCCCCCACCCCAGCATAGACCCGACCCAGGGGAATGTAGAAATACAAGGAAGCATTGAAAAAGAGTATTGCAAAGTTAGAAAAGATTCATGAGAAGCTCCTCATGTTTATTTATTAGCATAGCTGCTAAAAGTGTCATTTCCCTATTTGCATACAGCATGTGAAGACAGCTAAAGCTCTTTGATTTTATCATTATTGAACCGCTATTGAACATTAATATGCACCATGATTAAATGGCTGCTTCAGACCCTTTCAGAATTATGACTGTAATCACAACCAGAATTTAATATTTAATAAGAGCTTGTCTCTGCTGTTCACCTCTATATAGCTTCCTAGGCTTTCTATGCTCCTGCCAGCAGTTGTGTTTGGATGTTTGTGTGTACGTATCGTCTAACTTTGTACGTAGCGAATATATGCATTTTGTGGGCAACCATTATTAACGTGGCAGACGTTCTGTGCAATTAACCAAAGGTAAGCCATTGTCAGTTGCAGGTCTGAATGGGAGATTTATAAGCAACATCTTTTTCAGGGGTTTTTGTGTGTGTGTGTGTGGTAATTCTCTGTTTTTGTCTCTAGGGGATATTTGTTCTAGGCTTGCCATATGCTCTGCTCCACAGTGGATACAGTGGGCTGCTTCTTATTATCCTTGCTGCAATCTTCTGCTGCTACACCAGCAAAATTCTTATCGCTTGCCTCTATGAGGAAAATGAAGATGGGCAGCTTGTGCGAGTGAGAGGCACCTATGAAGACATCGCCAATGCTTGCTGCAGGAGGTTCTTCCCAAAACTCGGGGGCAGACTGGTCAACGTGACCCAGATTACGGAGCTGATCATGACGTGCATTTTGTATTTGGTTATCAGTGGGAACTTGCTGTCCCACAGCTTTCCGGCTTTACCGATGACCGAGAAAACCTGGGCCATTATTGCGTTTATAGGTCTGCTGCCCTGCGTGTTTATCAAAACCTTGAAAGTTGTATCCAGGCTCAGTTTGCTCTGCTCCTTCGCCCATTTCATCACCATATTTATAGTGATCGCTTACTGTTTGACCCAAAGGCATCGTTGGTCTTGGGCAAGGCTCAATCTGTCGGTAGAATTTGAAAGTTTTCTGATTGCAGTGGGTGTGATCATTTTTAGTTACACTTCGCAAATTTTCCTTCCAACCCTTGAAGAAAGCATGCAAAATCCTGGAGAGTGTAGGTCTATGTTGAACTGGACCCATTTCTTGGCTTGCGTACTCAAGATAATCTTGGCAATAACGGCACTGCTAACATGGGGAGAAGAAACAAAGGAGGTTATTACGGACAACCTTCCTTCTTCCTTACAGACTTCAGTGAACTTATGTCTCTTGGCCAAGGCACTCTTGTCCTACCCATTGCCCTTTTTTACAGTCACACAAATATTGCACGCTTATGTATCACCTAGGGACAAAGACGACTATAAATCGCCATGGCTTGCCATACTTTTAAAAATTGCCCTCCTCCTATTGACTCTCCTGATGGCCATGTTCATACCACACTTTGTCCTTCTTATGGGTCTAACTGGCAGTGTTTCTGGTGCAGCTATGACCTTCCTCCTTCCTTCTTTTTTCCACTTAAAGCTGAAATGGGAAAAGCTGATGCCTTTTGAGAAATGTGCAGACATATCAGTGTTTATCTTGGGTATCTTCTGCACCTTTGCTGGCCTTGTGTGCTCAATAAAAAGCTTATTGAGAGCTTTGGGATAAAATGTGGAAAGCAAAGTACTTTAATATCTTGCAACCATGAACATTAGAATTTAAATCAAAACATAGGTCGTTCTTGACTTACAGCCATAATGGAACACTAAAATTCCTTTTGTTAAATGAGATATGTGTTATGTAAGGTTTGTCCTATTTTATGACCTTTCTTGCCACAGTTTTTAAGTGAATCACTGAAGTTCATAAGTTGGTAACCCTGTTATTAAGTGAATCTGGTTTCCCCATTGAATTTGCTTGTCAGAAGGGCACAACAGCTGATCACATGACCTTGGGACACAGCAACGGTCATAAATGTGAACCAGGTGCCAAGCATCTGAATTTTGAACCCAATGATTATGGGGAAGCTACAAAGGTTGTCACTGAAAAATGGTAAGTCACTTTTTTTCAGTGCCATTATAATTTTGAGCAGTCACTTAATGAATTGTTGTAAGTCAAGGACTATCTTAAAGGATTGCATGGGGTTGGATCTAGAACAGGGGTCTCCAACCTTGGCAACTTTAAGACTTGTGGACTTCAACTCCCAGAGTTGAAGCAAAGATGGCTGAGGAATTCTGGGAGTTGAAGTCCACAAATCCTAAAGTTGCCAAGGCTGGAGACCCCTGAAGACCATAGCTGTGCTTCAGCCCCATTGAAATCAATGCAACATGATAGCAGTGGTTAAACAGTTCCATTAGTTTCAACAGATGAAGGCAAAGGAGTTGAACCTTTGATCTGGGTTAAAGGCAGCTGTCCTTGGTTTTGGCCTACCCTGCTGAAAGACACACTCCAAAAACAAGATGGTACCAAAACATGGGTCTTGTCATAACAAAAAATAGTTTTGGTTTAGTTGTAATTCAGTTAAATCAGCTATTATGACCATCCTTTTATTTAATCAATTTCTCCTTTTGTCTTGTTACCAATTACAGTTCAGCAGCCCTGGAGCCCCTGTGCACATGATGTACTGATGAACTCTAAAGCATGTAAACCTGACAGCTTCTACCAAATCTAGTCCACGAGTTCCACATTTGCATGCAAATATTCCTGATTGTGACAATTATATTTAAAGTAAATGTGATTCTTCAGAAATATTTTACAAGAGCCAAAGGTGAAGTTATTAACTTGTGTCTGACCCATCGCAACCCCATGGACAACATTCCTCCAGGCCTTCCTGTCCTCTATCATCTTCTGGAGTCCATTTAAGCTCACACCTACTGCTTCAGTGACTCCATCCAGCTACCTCATTCTCTGTTGTCCCCTTCTTCTTTTGCCCTTAAACTTTCTCAGCATTAGGCTCCAGTGAGTCCTTCCTTCTCATTAGGTGGCCAAAGTATTTGAGTTTCATCTTCAGGATCTGGCCTTCTAAAGAGCAGTCAGGGTTGATCTCCTTTAGGACTGACCAGTTTGATCACCTTGCAGTCCAAGGGATTCGCATGAGTCTTCTCCAGCACCATAGTTCAAAGGCCTCAATTCTTTGGCACTCAGCTTTTCTTATGGCCCAACTTTCATAGCCATACATTGTAACTGGAAAAACCATAGCCTTGACTATTAGCACTTTTGTTGGCAGGGTGATTTGATGTCTCTGCTTTTTAGTATGCTGTCTAGATTTGCTAGCTTCTCTTATATTTTAAAGTTAAAATTTTGGAGTTTTGTATCGCTTCTAGTAATTCAGGAGAGAAATGTAGGAATACCTTAGCCAGAGGTGGGGAGATAATATATAAGCAAATAAATAAAAAAATATCCTATTGCTTGTTTTTATCATGACCCTTGACTTCTAGTATGAGGAACATAAAGTGAAACTTGATGTAAGTGATTAACAAAGGACATTTTTATTTGTTTGTTTTTCCCTAGTAAAAGTTGTCTTGTTGGGAAGAGAATGATTTGTACTGAAGAAGCAATGATACATGGTGTGTAACTGTCTTCATTTACTACTACTCCAAACCAAATTCAGTCTGCATGATACAATCTCGTGTTTTAAAAAGCAACACAAGGGTGCAGATTGGACCAAAGAAATAGCAGACAGCAAGTATTAAGGACACCCATTGCAAATTTTCCCTCCATTAAAAAAGCTATGCGTATTTGTACATTGACGAGCTACTAAGAGCCAAATGGTACTATGTTTTCCTCTTATAATGAAATCCTAACCACACCTCTGGAAGACAAATGTCTTTGCAGGTTTCCCTTCTTATGATTTGTTATATAGTGTTGTCTTGCTGCATAACAGAGCCAATGCTTCAATAAAACTGCAGACTAAAAGCAGACGTTTCTCTGCTAGCTGGAAAAAAACCTGTTGGCTTTCAAAAAATGATAATATCCTGAACAGTTTTGTTTGTCAAGTAAAGTAACATACTGTCAAAATCAGCATGCAAAACATCATTAAACTATATTATTTTTTGTATTTATTTATACTTCAGGATTTATTAATTTTGTCTTAACAAATGAATCTGTTATGAGAAATAAAACTAAAAAGACTGCTTCTCATTTGTCCATAACATTATTAAAATGTAACGGATGATCTTACATAAATAGTAATGGAGACATTATGGCACATTCAGTCATAGTGGGATTGGGTTGATTTTAAATTAGTATAATGTGTGAATCCAGCAAGTCTAGTTTGTAAACTATTGTTTATCTTTCATGTATTATATAAATCAACTAATTATGGTTTAGTCAACAAATCGTCCTTTAAACCCTGGCTTAACCATTGTATAAAGCCAGCCATTTTCAGAGTTCATACTTAAGTCTATGTTAGGATCGTGTTTATCCTAGTTTTGTTGAACAAGACATTGAGGATTGGTTCAGCCATAATGTTAACCTGTAATAGGCAGGTTTACATATCATGATAAGCCCAAACCAAGTAGAGTAAAACACTTATGGTATAACATTGTGTGCAGGCAAGCTATGTTGACCAATTTACTTGTATATTATTTCATTAAACTCCCATGTTGAAAATGCACCAGCCATTAATGTTAGTAAGAGTAATCTATCAATAAGATTTCAACTAATCAACAAAGTACTGCATCTCCTAGATTAATGTAAATCATTGATATGCTGAAAAATGTACAACTGGCTCTGCCAACTCTATTAGTACCATTCACATTGCTCCATGAATGCACAAACAGCTGATTGGTGTGCTAAGTGCTCAGGTCTACTCTCAACCAGCTTGCACAATTCCATGAATGAATGAATGAATGAATGAATGAATGAATGAATGAATGAATGAATAGGCAAGCAAGCAAGCAAGCAAGCAAGCAAGCAAGCAAGCAAGCAAGCCCAGCATCTCACTGGTGTTGATATAAAAATACCTTGTTATAAGCCAAACCTCCCATGTTACTTGATTCTCCATTGAACCACACAATATTCTCCCTGATTCAAGTCATTAAGAAATCCATTGTTTAGAACTGATAGGTCAACTGACACTTGGTATTTATTTCCTTGGCTGGGAGTCTAGACTTTTTCCTTCTTATTTAACCAGTTTAATAGCAGAAAGCTCCCAAACTGCAGGATACAGGAAGAAACCCAAGTCTTAAGGATTGGTAGGGCCCTCTAGAGAGAGGCAAGAGGGTTTGACCTTAAGGGTTATATAGAGGAACATGGGACTTGCAACACATTGGAGATATCTCAACAACCAGAAATTTTGACAGCAATTCTTTTTTGTGGAAAAAATGTGTAAAATTGAAGAAAGGCTGTAAGTAAAGAGGTTAAGCATTGAGAATTTCTTCCTTTCTTTTGTATTCCTAACCATGTATTTTCAACACACTTGGTATACAACTTGAACTTTATATCTAATATCTAATACTGCCCTTGTTTATCTAGGAAAAGAGTTCTGGAGTTGCTAAAGATAAGCTTGTGACAAGGAATTTAGTTATCATCATTATTTATTTTTGTTCTCTTCAGTATCAACAAGGTAAGACTCATGCTTTTAGAATTTAATTATCTTGTGATAAAAGCTTCATTGGCTTCATAAAAAAAATCATGCAATTTATTTGCTTTCTTTTTGTATGCAGAGCATTTCTTGATTTTTTTTAATACTTTATCTGAGCAAATTATAAGCTGAATAAAGTAAATCAGCTTCAATAAGCAGAACCGTAATTAACATCCTGTACAATAGACTTTAGTTTTAAAAGATATTAAGTTATTAAAAGAATAGGAATCACAATATATTTTGCATTAGTGATAATCCGTTATGATAGGAAACAATCTAGACAGAAGTATTTTAATGAATACTTGGCATCTTAATATGCCAAATCTATCTTGGTCTAGATAATTAAAAGAATTGTTTGAAAGACAAAAAAAGTTAAATTATCCTTACTAGCTTTCACTCACACTGGCACTGAGTCATAATAAAAATGTGGAAAGGGATCTGAATGCCAGACTTGAATGGCAAACAATAATGTCAAAATGTAGAAACTGTCTTTTGTACTTCTCAGCACCTGTGCCTGTGGTTTGAATGAACAAAAGTGACTTCTCGGCAGTAGCTTTTGCTTTAAATACTTATTTATCCAGAAACATAAAAGTATAATATTCTGCAGAACAGCCTTCTACCACCTTGCCCCCTTCTAGATGTATGGAATGTACATGGACAGAAGCAGCATATGTGTTTTTATTACAGAATGTTTTTTTTTCACCCTTATTCAAGATGCTCACAATAATCACATAAAGAGCATCTTCGCTATCTGATAAAATCAAAGTTGGATGTCTAAAATAAAATAAGATAAAATTAAATAAAATTAAAATGTCCTTAAAACATTAGCAGATCAAACTAAGAATCTAAGTTCCATCAGCACAGTGAAATAGAAATATCTTCCATTTCTTTTCAGTAGGACTAGGTGGGTGAGTCATCAAGCCCTTGGTTGGGCAGCCACTTCTACAAGTAAGGTTGCCACCAAAAAGGCTCTTTCATGCTCTCCTACTCTCTCATGGCCAGGAATGGAGAAATCTGCAGAATCTCTTCTCAGACCAAATTCTCAGGATGAACAGACACTGATAAAGATCATTATAGGTCATAATCA